CTTTCGATAAATATAAAATACTGGTGGCACGATGAGTCAATGGTTCATACGAATTTTGGAATTTGAATAAAACGGGTTTCTGGGCGGTTATACTATTTCAATTAGGAATATCATGTTCTAGTAATATTGCATGCAAATTGTTTCTTGATACTTAGACCTATACATAGGTAGACCTAGATACTTGGGGTATACCTATACCTATACATAGGTAGACCTAGATACTTGGGGTATACTTAGACCTATACATAGGTAGACCTAGATACTTGGGGTATACTTAGACCTATACATAGGTAGACCCTATATATATATATATTTACAGAGGTAGATAAAGCTAAATTGAATAAACATAGATAATTAAATAAACATAGTTTGATTCTTACACTTTACCCAAAACCTTGACATAAAGTTCTTAGTTTTTAATTTTTTTCTTTATAATCCCCAAAAAAAATTTAAAATTTGTTTAGACGTTTAAAACTCCAGTTTTCTTAAAGCTACACATTTGCAACCTTGGGATTTACACAGCTTTTGTTATTTAAAAAATTTGTCAAATGGATTCACAAGAATTTAAAGTGTGATAAATCTAAATTCTTTGACAGCAGAATAAAAAGTTAGAGGGATTAGAAAATTATAGTTTGAGGCGAGTAATCGGCTCCTCAACAACATAAGATTTGTCAAGAAAAGTTAGCGTCATTTAAGAAAATTTAAGTAATTCAAATCTGTTTGGCCATCTTTGTAAGTTTAGGATTGGTTTAGGAGAACTGGCAAGTCTGGCTAAGTAACTTGATGGTTCGCGTTTAAATAAATTTTCTCAGAAGAACATGGTATACCTAAACGAAGAGTGGTAAATATAAACTTGAAAACAGTTTTTACCATTAAAAGGTTGTAAACCCTCTTAGAGTCATGTTGAATTTAAATCAAGTTGAACTTATTTGTTAAAAAATCAATACTAACCCCTAAAAGTTTAAAGATTATTGATTTCATGAATTCCAAAAAAGTTCGTAGAAAGAGACCATGATGAAGGGTGAACATAATGCAAATATTGTTTAATACAATAGAATATTAATAATAACAATTAAACCTCTAATGGATTGTTTTGAAATCCTAAATTGCAGAAAATAGCCTTGCTATGTCTTATGGTTTCATAACAAGACTTGTAACCCCTAAACCCCGCCCCCTCCCCTTGGTTGGAACAACCCCCTCCACCTTATTTATGGTTTGGCCATGTTTCAATTTAATTTCTCGCATTGTTCAAGTTTTTTTTATATTCTTTGCTACTATTTATCTAACAGAATTCCCAATTGTTTAGAAGTTGCACTTCCCACATTCACCAGACTAGTGTACACCATATACATTCATTCATTCATTCATTCTATAGAATAGTGGACACCATATACATTCATTCATTCATTCATTCTATAGAATAGTGGACACCATATACATTCATTCATTCATCCTTTCTATAGAATAGTGGACACCATATTCATTCATGCATTCATCCCTTCTTCCTAATAGTGGACACCATATACATTCATTCATCCCTTCACTAGACTAATGGACACCATATACATTTATTCATTCATTCATCCTTTAGAATAGTGGACACCATATTCAATCATTCCTTGGTTCATCCTTCCTCAATAATTCATATACTAGTTTTGTGGACACCTAAATCATGCATTCATTCATTTACTAGACTAGAGGATACTTTATAATCATTTAATAATTCACTTACTAGACTAGTGCAGTACACCTTATTCATTCAATAATTCATTTACAAGATTAGTGGACACCTTATTCATTCATTCATTCATCTACTAGACTATTGGACACCTTATTCATTCATTCATTCATCTACTAGACTAGTGGACATCATATTCGACATTCAATAATTAATTTACTTGACTAGTGGAAACCTTAGTAATTCAATAACTCATTTACTAGACTAGTGGACACCTTATTCATTCAATAATTCATTTACTAGTCTTGTGGACACCTTATTTATTCAATAAATCATTTTCTGGTCTTGTGAACACATAATTCATTCATTTATTCATTTACTAGACTTGTGGACACCTTATTCATTCAATAATTCAACTACTAGACTAGTGGACACCTTATTTATTTAATAACTAATCTACTTGACTTGTGGGCATTTTATTCATTCATTCTATCATTAACTGGACAAGTGGATACTTTATTCATCCCTTCATTCATTTACTTAACTGATTGAAAATGTATATATTCATTCATTATTCAGACTTTTGGAAACATTACTCATTCATTCATTCATTAACTAGAAAAGTGGACACAATATACATACATTCACTCTCTAGACTAGTGGACACCATATACACTCATTAATTCATTAATTCATCCTTTTGACTAGTAAATGCCTTATTCATTCATTGTTTCATGATCTAGACTTGTGGACACCATATTTATTCATTATTTTTTTCACTCAGGCTTAATATCCTTCCTTCTATTCTTTCTACAAACAGATTTTCTTCTTCCCTCCATTTTTTCATCCACTAAAATGTGCATAGAGTCTTCAAATTTAACGTTTTAATTTTCAATTAATTATAATCGGACGTTTATTCAACGACTCAGGATTAGGCTCAGTGACTTTGCTTTGTTATATGTTGAATATTAGGCCTGAAGGTTCACATACTAATGAGTAGTTTCACCCTGGTACAATATTTACATAATAATGATAGAGAACAGGAGAACTAACGGACAACACTCAAACCAAAAATGGTTTTTAATATTTTCTATGGTTTTGAAACCAGTCTTGATCTATCTTATTCTAAATACAAGGAGGGATAGTTCTAGTAGATCTAGTATTGGAGTAGGCTAGGACGTTTCTAGTAAATCTAGTATAAGGGTAGGCTAGGACGTTTCTAGAAAATCTAGTATCAGGGTAGGCTAGGACGTTTCTAGTAAATCTAGTATCAGGGTAGGCTAGGACGTTTCTAGAAAATCTAGTATCAGGGTAGGACAGGACAGTTCTAGTTAATCTAGTATTAGAGTAGGATAGAACAGTTCTAGTAATTCTAGTTTCAAAGTAGGAATAGACGGTTCTAGTAAATCTAGTTTCAGAGTAGGAAAGGTTTAATATACAACATATCAGGGTTTGGTGGAGTAGGACGTTTTAATATACAACATATCAGGGTTGGGTAGAGTAGGAAAGGTTTAATGTGGAAAATATCAGGGTTGGGTGGAGTAGGACGGGTTTAATATACAACATATCAGGGTTTAGTAAAGTAGGAAAGATTTAATATTCAACATATAAGGGTTAAGTAGAGAAGGAAAGGTTTACTATACAACATATAAGGGTTGAGTAGAGTAGGAAAGATTTAATATACGACATATCAGGGTTGGGTAGAGTAGGAAGGTTTTAATATACAACATATCAGGGTTAGGTAGCTTAGGAAGGGTTTAATATACAACATATCATGATCGGGTAAAGTAGGAAAGATTTAATATACAACATATCAGGGTTGAGTAAAGTAGGATAGGTTTAATGTACAACATATCAGGGTTGGGTAGAGTAGGACAGGTTTAATATTCAATATATCAGGGTTGGGTAGAAAATTTTAGGTTTAAGATACAACCTATCAGGGTTGGGTAGCTTAGGAAGGGTTTAATATACAACATATCAGGGTTGGGTAGAAAATGTTAGGTTTAAGATACAACCTATGAGGGTTGGGTAGCTTAGGAAGGGTTTAATATACAACATATCATGATCGGGTAAAGTAGGAAAGATTTAATATACAACATATCAGGGTTGAGTAGAGTAGGAAAGATTTAATATACAACATATCAGGGTTGAGTAGAGTAGGATAGGTTTAATATACAGCATATCAGGGTTGGGTAGAGTAGGAAAGGTTTAATATTGAACATATCAGGGTTGAGTAGAGTAGGAAAGGTTTAATATACAACATATCAAGGTTGGGTAGAGAAGGACGGGTTTAATATTCAACATATCAGGGTTGGGTAGAAAATGTTAGGTTTAAGATACAACATATGAGGGTTGGGTAGCTTAGGAAGGGTTTAATATACAACATATCATGATCGGGTAGAGTAAGACAAGTTTAATATGCAACATATCAGGGTTGGGTAGAGTAGGACGGGTTTAATATTCAACATATCAGGGTTGGGTAGAAAATGTTAGGTTTAAGATTCAACATATGAGGGTTGGGTAGCTTAGGAAGAGTTAAATATACAACATATCATGATCGGGTAGAGTAAGACAAGTTTAAGATCCAACATATCAGGGTTAGGTTGAGTAGGACAGGTTTAATATTTCCGCTGTAAGAATTGTATTGGGTTTAGAATGGGTAGACAACAGGTTAATTGGTGGTTTAAAGACTATCAAGAGTTTCACATCCAATTACGAAAAGGAAGTGCATAGCAGCACATTGTAATAAAACTTTATCTTAAAACTTAAACTCTAAATCTTGCTTTCCCTCTCTCATATATGTCACACAAAAACCATGTAAAAAGTCCTAAAACCGACAAGATTCGCCGAAGATCAAAATTATTTTGAGTTTCTTATACCTGGTTTCTTATACCTGGTTTCTTATACCTGGTTTCTTATACCTGGTTTCTTATACCTGGTTTCTTATACCTGGTTTCTTATACCTGGTTTCTTATACCTGGTTTCTTATACCTGGTTTCTTATACCTGGTTTCTTATACCTGGTTTCTTATACCTGGTTTCTTATACCTGGTTTCTTATACCTGGTTTCTTATACCTGGTTTCTTATACCTGGTTTCTTATACCTGGTTTCTTATACCTGGTTTCTTATACCTGGTTTCTTATACCTGGTTTCTTANACAGCAGAATTAAATTTGATCATGTCTTTTATTTTTAGAATTTCAAGTTTCAGAAAAAGTGGATCTGCGTGTGCAGCATAACCGTTATCTGCTAGAACTCGTAGAGCTTTTTTCTGAAGAGTAGATAATTTTCCTAATCTACTATTCTTCATTTTTCTTTTTCAGGCAGGATGTTGTGGGGAGGAGGGTTGGATCTCTGGATCTGTATATCCATAATATTCATATCAGTTCTACCCGCAGCGCACACTGCTCCTGTTGAAGATTGGCCTGAGGATTCACAACTAGCTTTCCCAGAAGAAGGTCAGCTGAATATTCTATGACAAAATATCTGTTTTTGTGTATGTATGCTGCGTTATGAAAATGAGTTTTTCCCACTAACTCTGATTTTGTAATCCCTGTATCTTTGCAGGCCTGAGGTATTTCAAACTATAAATTCTGTCATATCAACTAATCTAATTTGAAATATCGAAAGTTTAAATCATAACGTTGCAAAGATATAGGAATACAAAAATTTGAGTTTGTGGCAAAGACTCATTTCTTTTAATTTCTTTTTCTCTCTTAAGTCCTTTATTTTTCAAACCTTGAACTTTAAAAGTGTTTCCATTTTTTTATTACTTTTTTGCTTCTTCTTCCTTTTTCATATTTTTAACCAAATTCCTTTTGATTCTTGTCTGTCATTAATATTTTTCAACCTAACTCCATAATTTCATTCACATGTCTTTGGTTCTTTAGTTATCTGATATTTAAACCCAGAACTGCCTTAACTTAACCTCTACCATTGTATCTTTCTTCTTAACATCTTCAATTCTGTTATTTATTATAGTTACTCCCCACTTGTAAAACCAAAAAAGAAGATACAGTGAGACTCATAACACTGTGGAAAAGGAAGACATATTTATCAGTCGTATGCTTATATAAAGACCGAGTTTTTTTCTGTTACTTGAAAACCAACTTATCAAGTGATTAGGTCTGTGTACACTGCACCATTTCCATCTAAAACATAACTTGAGGGTTGGGCAGTCATCTTCTTATTATATTGTTTTACGAGTCTTACTCAATTCCGACTAAGTCATATTAAAAAGAAAATTATTACAAACAGTAAATATAGATCGATAAAGTGTTTTTATAGATGGTAAAATTGCCTCTAACACCCTGAAGTAGGATTATTGTTTAAACACCCTGTAATTAGAAGTTATTATTTGTACATCCTGTATTGGTGTCTGAACACTCCCTAGTTATAGTTCTGACTACTGTGTACAGATTCAATACTTCATATCATCCTGATGCATCACGTGTCAAATTTGTCTTCGTGGAATTTAATAAAAAATTCTACTCATCTTCGGCGTAATTTTGTTGCTTGAAAACATGGTGATAACAGTTTACTTATTGCCGAGCATAATTCCAAGTGGCACTTAAAATTAAGGTTTATTTGTACAACGGTATTTAATATTTAGACTTTTAAAGGGACGTAATTTCAAGTGACCTTACATGCAAAGATGGCAACGTGCGATTCACTACAGTACCCTTGAAATATTTATCCGGTCAAAAATTTGAGAGATTTTGAAATTTTTCTACGTTTAATTATATAATTTTCAATATGCTTTCCCGCAGCAGAAATGCGCAGGGTACTTTTGTATAGAAACCAGTTTTCTAAATTATAAATATCTGCCATCTTTCCATGGAGGGTCACTTAAAATTTGCGCTTACAGTCCCTTTAAGAAAAAGATGACGGAATTAAAGTGACTGTTGATAAATTAATGTTTATGTACCTATGTACAGGTTGCTACTACCAGTACAAACACTATGATGAAGGAGAACAGATTATCACAAATGAACCCTGCCTGAACTGTACATGTCACAACCAAATGCTCATGTGCTTCCTCAGGTCAGCATCTTACATAAAACATCCACACCATACAATACAGGGAAAAAAGCCGATGCAATTACGGTTCAGCGTTCTTTAGAATTTAAAGAAATGATAAAATAATGTTAAAAAGTGAAGAAGAATATTTAAACTAATTCCAATGATCACGAAACCTCTGTAAATTCAACACGAATGTTTAAAAGCAATCTTTCAGAACTTAGTTTTTGTTCCCGTAGTGTGATGATGAGCAACGAGGGTGGAGGAGGGGGGGAGGGAAGAAGGAGAAGGGGAAACTATTCATTTACCAACCCTCATTCTCCTGATAGCTTTTCCTCTCTCTCCTGCTAACGCCCTCTGTGTTTTTGTTCAACCTATGATCAATTAGAAACCATGTTTTTGTTCCTCCAAAGAACCTGTAATTGTTACAAATTGGAGACTGAACACTCGGCTTTCTTTCAATTAGATTTTAAACAAAGATAGACCGCGCTGTGCGTCAAGAAAGAAATTTCTAATCTACAAGAATACATTATGGATTTATACAGCTTGTCTACACGCAACTAAACACAATATGAATATCTATAGTTTTTATAGAAAATGTTCCAAAAATTAAAAAAAAAATTCTTTGCAGAGTATGTCCTTTTATCAAACCTGTTGGTAAGGATTGTATAGTGGAGAAGAGCGAATCTCAATGTTGTCCCACAATTACTTGTCCCCCAGGTAAGCTTGTCCCACGATATCTTGTCCCCCAAGTAAGCTTGTCCCACGATATCTTGTCCCCCAAATAAGCTTGTCCCATGTGCCACAATCGCTTGTCTTCCGGATAAGGTTGCCCCATGTTCCACTTTTCGCATCTTCTGTATATCCTGTATCTTGCTTTTTGTTTTTTATCAAGACCATATTACCTGTATCATGGTTACCTATTTCTAAATACACGTGAATCAGGACCACCAACTAACCTGTATCATGGTTACCTATTTTTATATACACGTGAATCAGGACCACCAACTAACCTGTATCATGGTTACCTATTTTTATATACACGTGAATCAGGACCACCAACTAACCTGTATCATGGTTACCTATTTCTATATACACGTGAATCAGGACCACCAACTAACCTGTATCATGGTTACCTATTTTTATATACACGTGAATCAGGACCACCAACTAACCTGTATCATGGTTACCTATTTTTATATACACGNCATCACTTTTCTCTTTGCCCCGCTTCCCTCCCCTTCATTCTGTGTGCCCCCTTCTTAAACCTAATTTTACTTCCAATGTTATTTATCCTCAATGTCTACATGATTAGCATCAATCCCTCGTAAAATTTTATTAAAGTTTTCTCCAGTTTTTAATGAAATCTATCATCCTTTAGTATCAATCCTTCTCTTCAGATTTCAGTAACCTAGTTCATATTTCGTTCCTCCGAATCCTATAATCTCTCTATACCTTTGTATTCGAAGTTTGAGCTTCATTTTTCCCCTGGAAAGGTTCAGCCGAATTTTTCTTCCAAATCTCACATTCCATTCTTTCTGTCAAATCGAATTCGCACTTTCTAACTTTCTAACTATCTAACTATCTGTATATGTAACTTTCTAACTATCTAACTATCTGTATTTGTAACTTTCTAGCTATCTACCTACCTGCCTCTGTAACTTTCTAGCTATCTAACTATTTGTCTAAGAACTTTCTTACTTATCAACTGATATCAGAAGAACTTTCTAACTTCCAACTAGTTGTATAAAAAACTTTTCAACTTTCAATCTGAAGAACTTTCTAACTTTCCTACTATCTATCTGGAAAATTTTCAAACTTTCTAACTGTCTAACCAAATAACTTTCTAATTCCCTGATTATTTATCCCATGAACTTCCCTCTAATTACACAACTTCTGAGTATTAATTTACTTCACTACTTTCTAACTCTCACATGATGTCCTACTTTCATACTTTCTCACTCTTTCAATATCTAACCCAGAATTGATCATGATTCTACTTTACTTGCTATCTCTTTAACTGTCTAACCCAGGGGTATATATTTTCAAGAATTGATTATGATTCTACTTTACTTGCTATCTCTTTAACTGTCTAACCCAGGGGTTTATATTTTCAAGAATTGATTATGATCAAGAAATGGTTTTCTATGATCTAGATTGAAAAGTTTAGTCACTTTTTTAATACTTTCACCCCTAGATTCATGTATTTTTGCTAATTTTTTATAAATTTTTCACAGTTCAACGAATAAAACCCAAAAACATACCTAACATCTGGGGGGAAATGAATTATTTTACCCACCTTACCCACCAAATATCTATTTAGAAATCCATTCTTCTAATCAGCTTTCCAAAAATCTCAACACAGTAAAATCCTCTTGTGTGCACTTATGAATATCTTCGAGGTTTCCCATGATGCATAGGTCACTCATTCCTTCAACCTTAATTTTGCAAACTCTTATGCGAGTGCATTCCATGGTGGCATACCATCCCTTCCCCCATACCCACCCCACCCTCTCTGTGTGAACTTATTTTGAAGGTTCATCACCCTTCTATGGCATGTACAATTATAAACTCTAAATTTTGTAATTGCCCTGCATGCATGTTGCGGTGAAGAAAAGTTGTAATTTTTCTGTAGTCAAGCCTTTATAACTTTAATAGTTTGTACATCCTTTAAGTTTATGGACCTGAGAATATGGGTTGTTAAATTATTAGAAAATATTGAAGACTTTGCTGTAAACCCTAATTCTACACATTAAATAACTTTAAATAATATATCTAGATACCTACAGACCCCCTGAACCCTTGTGATCTCTGCTACTGTATCAGAAACCATACTGCCTGTGTTATGCAAGAATGCAGTCTAAAGGTAATAATGTAAACAATATTAATTCAAATCCATTGAAAGGGTTTTAAGAGCGAGGTAGATTTATTTTGTCAATTAAGATTCACACACCTATGTATACAAAAATAAACAAATATGATAACTTGGTTTATGAGCTAAATAGTTAAAGAAAGCCAGTATAAAGAATTTATTTTATATAGACCAACAAAATGTTATGTTTCACAACAAAGAATATTTCTAAATTTCAGTTGTTTAACCAATTTTATGGAAAATTATATCGTATACTAATAAAAAAGTATTTTATCATTTCAGGAAAAAATTCATTTTTTTCACAACATTTTTTTCAGGTTGAAGGATGTGAGCCGATCTATCTAGATGGAGTGTGTTGTCCTGTTAAGTACATTTGTGGTAAAAAAAATTTTTATACAATTTTTATTTGGTTGATGATTTTAGAGGATTAAGTCTCTTTATGCACAGATATAATTTTGAAAATAATTCAACAACTTATGTGCGTTAAACTTTATTTACCACTTTTACTTTTTGTAGCCCTGGATAGGAACCTTTTAATCGGCAAAACTATTGCTTAAATTAGACTGTACGGTTAATTTCAAGTGACCCTCCATGCAAAGATGGCAATGCCAGATTCACAACAGTACCCAGCAACCTTTATCTTATCAATAATAAGAAGATATTGTCGTTTTCTAGGTTTTAAAGTGAATGATTTCTAGCAGTAGAAATGCGCAAATTACTTTTTGTAGAGAAACTACAATTGAAAATTATCAATTTTCAAAACTACAAAAATTGATATCTGATTCATTATCGACCATAAAAAGCTTTTAAGGGCACCGTTGTGAATCGGTCATTGACATCTTGGCACGAAGTTTCACTTAAAATTACGCTCACAGTCCCTTTAAGGTTCTGATTTCAAGGAGTATATAAACAGAGTATGAAAAAGTCGTCTTCAATCTTGTCGTGCGGAAAAATGAAATTTTTTGTCATTTTACTCTTCAAGCTTCAAGCTGGCTAAGTTTATAAACAATGATGATAAATGTTCTATAATTTAACCCTAATACCTTCTAGCGTTAAAGCAATTTCACACGTAACCAAGTCTAAAAGCCTCCTTTATACAACCAATTAAATGAAATTTAGACAGGCTCCCATTCATCATTGATTATCAAACAGTAAGAGTCATTTTTAAAGTATAAAATGATATTAATTAAAGAGCGGATTCTCTTTTAGCTTTTTACATATTGATTATAAACACTGCTAAGGATTTTATAATATGTATACAGTTATATCTTTAGAAATGGGACCAAAGGATTTGAGTCTTTGCCACAAACTCAAGATTTTCAAATCTTGATTTCTTTGCAGCCCAATGCCGTAGGCCTTAAATATTTCAGACTATGAATTCTGGTAGATCAAATAATCTAAGTTTGAATCAAGTTGCTAAGATATAGGGATTAGAATGTTTGAGTTTGTGAAAAAGACTCAATTCCCTTTATGAATAGTTAAACTTAGCTAAACCACATCTCATAAACTTGAACAAAAGAAGTGGCTCAACCTAGTCTATATAGTTCAACTATGTACTCACAATTTATTAAATCTGATCCTTTGACACAAATATCTGTTGGAACATTTACAAATATGAGATACAAAATCTGAATAAATATACAGTGAATGACATTCATTTGGTAATGACTGTTCAACCCCCCTCTTTTTCTTCTGGTGAACCAGCACCTGTTACACGAAATTAACCAGTTTTTACTGGTTGAATTCAAACCTTCTGTTAGTTTCTATACTTTAGGAATTTCTAGGTTACATTTTTCAAATTCCATCGTGAAATTATTGAATTGAACACAACCACAGCAAGAATATTGCCATGAAAATCATAATTTGTTTGTTCTTTGGTTGGCTGTGGGATAAGCCTTATTGCGTAATGAAATACGGCTTATCAATAACTTATTTTATTGGTTCAGCAGAATTCATGATTTTGCTTTCAAAACTAAAATATTACTGTAAACGGTTTTTAAAAATCTCTGATTTCATTTCAATGATTAATTCAAAATCAAAAAATTCTAACCTTGCTCAAATATTAAATTAATCAAAACAATCGACATTTTAATTATTGTAATCCAAAACTACAGAACTCCATATAATGCTGTAAAATATGAAGAAAACATTTTGTGTATAAAAGAAAATGTTTACTGCAGGAACTTGAAAATTAACTGGTTAAGCAGCTAAATTGCTGTGCTTAATGTTAGTTATTCATTGGACAACTTGAGGCTAGCAGTTGTCTTCCTATTTCAAAGTTTTTGGCTTTTACTGTAATACTTTTCTAATTAGTTATACTATTTTAGAGAATGGACTTGGATTAGCTGGACCCATTGATACTGACGAGAAAGAAGATGAGAATTCTGTAACAGTAAGTTCTACTGAACTAGGCTGTTATTCTAACGGAGACTTCTATGCTAACGGAGCAGATATTGTAACCGAAGACCCCTGCGAGCATTGTTATTGTCTGAACGGAGATATGGTTTGTGCAGTACAGGAGTGTATGGGTCCACTAGAGGGAGAAACAGATAGCTGTGAACCTCTGCCAGCTCCTCCGGGTCAATGCTGCCCTGCTGAATACAACTGCCGTAAGTTTTAACCCTATTTTCTGGGGGTAGGGGTTTGAAAGTTGTACACGTAAGAAAAGGTATGCCAAGGTTTTCATAGGTTTTTGAACATTTTTATTATTTTTTTTGAATGAAAAGGATTTTTTTCAGAGAGCATTTGTATTTTTTTCAGTTTTCATTTTTTCATATTAAAAAATATAAAATAGTTTTTTTTTTAAATACAGTGGCAGAGATAGTAATACAAATGATTTAATGTATTGGTCAAAACTAATTTTACGTTAAAATTGCTCAACACTTTTTAACACTGTTTTCCTTAGGTCCAACTGAAACTACATCTGTTGCATCTGAAACTACTATTGTTTCTGTGCAAAACATCACAGATGGAGGATCAGGTCTTAAAGAGGAGGATAGATCTACAACTGCTGTCGGAGAACTATCTACTACAGAAGCTACCACTGGAGAATATATATCTGAGGGGGAAACAGATGCTACCTCCACTGACGGTCCAGGAGTAACAGCATCAGAAGTTCTGGATGATCAAGAGGTCACAACTGATGAAATCCTTGCTGATGACACTAATGACTATACGGATGATGTTACTACAGAGGAACCTGCAACAACTACAGTGTATGCTATTACTGATGCTCTGAATTCTTTTACTTCTACAATTTCATCAATTCTGGGCATTTCAGAGGCTTCTGACAGCAAGAACCCTGCAGAGGAAACTCAAGATTCAGAAATTAACCTAGCTGCTGGATCAGGAGCACCAATCAGTGATAATACTGAGATCACCAGCACTGATAAACCAACTGCTGAAATTATAGATAAAGAAGATAACCTGGCTAACACCAAACCTCTTGTGAGTCAACAAATGGTTGAAGACATTCCTGTGATTCCTGAACCAAATGATGAAACAAAATTTGAAACAACAAATGGTTCAGTATCTGCTGCTGAACCCATCCAAGATGATCTTTTTTCAGAAGAAGGGGAAAATGTTGATTTAACTTCCACAACAAGACCTGAAATTCTAGAGGATGATTTTGATGACACTGTTGACACCACAGAGTCTGCAATAATTGATAATGATACAACCACAGATATCAGTGAGAACGAAATTAATTTAACCTTTACTGTTGGGTCTGATATTCAAGAAGATGGATTAGAAAACTTACAAACTACCACAGACTCTATTTCAGAAATTGTTGCTGAAGAAATTTTAACCCAAGATTCGCTTTTTGGAGCCGATAATATGTCAACACAGAAGCCAGAAATTCAAACAGTTGAAACCAACCATGAACTCGCAACAGAAAATGCAGATAATTTTGAAATGGTTTCCACTGATGAGCCCACAACTGCAACCAATGACCCAGAGAGTGTTGAGTTTTTCTCTACAACAAAACCTGAAATTCAAGAAGACGACATTGATGATGAGTATACAACTGAAACCACAGATGCTTTAATTACTGATGGTATAAGTAATAATTTTACAACTGGAACAAGTGATGTATCATCAACCATTAACGCTACAGCTGAAGAAATTTCTACTGAAGATACTCTCTTTACTGAAGATGGGGAAGCTGTAGATTCAACTACTACAACCAAGCCTGAAATCCAAGAAGATGAAATTGATTTAGATATTACTGCAACAGTAACATCTACTGAAGATAACACAAATGCTGATACTACTTCTACACAGAAGCCTGGAATTCAAGCGGAAAATGTTGAGGAGGACTTAACCACTGAGTTCACAGATTCAGCTTCCACAGAAGATTCTCTATTTAGCATAGGGGAGGAAAATGTTGATTCTACTTCTACAACCAATCCTGAAATTCAAGAAGATGACATTGATGAAGGCTTTACACCTGAAACAGCAGATTCAACCACCACTGAAAATGCACTTAGTGAAGAACTGAACACAGAGGATGGTCTCTTTGACACAGGGGATATAGATATTGAAGCTATTTCTACTACCAAGCCGGAAATTGGAGAAAGCAACATTGATGATGAGATTTTATCTGAAACAGCAGATTCAGTAACTGATCAACAAACTACAGAAGATGCTCTGTTCAACGCAGGAGATGAAAATCTTGATAATACTTCTACCTCTTCATCTGAAATTCAAGAAGATGACATCGATGAAGACTTTACACCTGAAACAACAGATTCAACAACCAATGAAATTGCAGTTAATGAAATAACTGCCAAGCCAGAAATTGGAGAAAGCAACATTGATGATGAGATTTTATCTGAAACAGCAGATTCAGTAACTGTTCAACAAACTACAGAAGATGCTCTTTTTAACACAGGAGATGAAAATCTTGATTATACTTCTACCTCTTCATCTGAAATTCTAGAAGATGACATCAATGAAGACTTTACACCTGAAACAACAAATTCAGCAACCAATGAAAACGAAGTTGATGAAATAACTATCAAGCCAGAAATTGGAGAAAGCAACATTGATGATGACATTTTATCAGAAACAGCAGATTCAGTAACTGATCAACAAACAACAGAAGATGCTCTTTTTAGTACAGGAGATGAAAATCTTGATTTCATTTCTACCCCTAAACCTGAAGTTCAAGAAGATGACATCGATGAAGAGTCTACAACTAAAACGACAGATTCTGCAACTACTGAAAATGTTAATGATAAAGACCTAACTACAGAAGATGCTCTTTTTGAAGCAGGAGAAGAAAACGTTGATTCTATGACTACTGCAAAGCCTTCCATTCAAGAAGATGGCATTGATGAAGAAAATAAGACTGATTCAGCTACTTCTGAAAATACAACCGATGAAGATATAACCACTGAAAATTCTCTTTTTGGTGCAGATGAGCCTTCCTCTACTGCAAAGCCCGAAACTCAAGAAGATGTCATCGATGAAGAATTGACAGCTGAAGCTGAAAACACTACAAATGAGATTCTAGCCCCCCAACTTCCTCTTTTGGGAACAACAACATTAAATCCAGATGTTAATACAGAAAAGGAAGACAGTGAGACAGAAACTCCTGATATCGCTTTTGATGATACATATGATTATGGGGATGAATATTTTAATGGAAAGCCGGTGTATGAAGATGATTCTGATTCTAGTACAGGTAGCTATGTTACCTCAGATGTAACAGAACAAACTACTGATACCACTGCTTCAGTATCAGGTATCCTTTCCAACGATTCAAATCTGACATGCATAAGTGAAGAAGGTGTAAAATATGAGGAGTTGCAATCAGTTCCAAGTTCTGACCCTTGCAATCTCTGTCAGTGTACCAGTGGATTGATTATTTGTGCTGTTCAGGAATGTCTGGTTCAAACAAATGACAATTGCATTGCTTTGCAAAAAGCTGAAAATGAGTGTTGCACAAAATATGATTGTTCTGGTGATGTTGCAGCTACCACTGCTTTGGATACTGGAGAAGGACAAACAACTCCATCTGGAATTACAGAGGAAGATAGCAAAGGTACCTCAGCTGCAGCTACTGGTGTGGAAGAAACAACTGCATTTGGAATCACAGGGGAAGATGCTGATGCTGCTACTGATACAGCTATTGAAGAAGGAGAAGCAACTGAATCTGGAATTATACAGGAAGATAATAAAGATAACACAACTACTGCTTTTGGAGAAGAAGAATCAACTGAATCTGGAATTACCAAGGAAGATAATGAAGATACCTCAGCTACTGCTGAAGGAGAAATAGAAACAACTGCAACTGGAATTACAGAGGAAGATAGTGAAGCTACAACAGCTGCAGCAAACAGTGGGGGTGAAACAACTGCATCTGGAATAACAGTGGAAACTGCTGAAACCATCACAGTTTTAGCAGCTGGAGAAGAAGAATCAAATGAATCTGGAATTACAGAGGAAGATGCCCAAGTTACCACTGCCACAGCTGGGGGAGAAGATGCAACAACTGTGTCTGGAATAACAAAGGAAGATGCTGATCCTTCCACTGCTACATCTGGGGGAGAACAAGAAATAACTGAAACTGGAATTACAGATGGTACTGCTGAAGTCACTACAGCTACAGTTGACAAGGAAGAAGAAACTACTTCATCTGGAATGACACTGGTGGATGCTGATGCTACTACTGCTATAGCTGATGGAGAAGAAGAACAAACTGAATCTGAAAATATAGAGGAAGAAGCTCAAGCTACCATCGCTACATCTGGAGAGGAAGAAGAAGTAACTGAGTCTGGAATTACAAATACATCTTCTGAAGTCACCACAGCTGCATCTGGCGGAGGAGAAGAAACAACTGCAGCTGGAGTTATAGAAGATGCTGAGGCTACTATTGCAACAAATGATGGAGAAAAAGAAACAACTGAATCCGGCATAACAGAGAAAGAGGATGAATTTTCCTCAGCTACAGCTGAAGGAGAAGAAGAATCTACTGCATCTGGAATTGCAGAGAACATTGCTGAAGTTTCTACAGCCACAGCTGCTGGAGTAGGAGTAATAAATGAATCTGGAATTACAGCTGAACCTGCTGAAACCACCACCACTTCTTCTGCTGAAGGAGAAGAACTAGTTGTTTCTGGATCAACAGAATATGATGCTGGAGCTACTGCTGCTACATCTGGCAGTGAAGAAGAAACAACAGCATCTGGAATTAGTGAGGAAGATGCTGAACCCACCACTGCTTCAACAGGAGGAAACAATGAAACATCCCAATCAGGAATTCCCGATACTGGAGCTGAAGCTACCACAGCTAAGACTGATCAAGTAAATGACACAACTGTTCCTGGAATAACAGAAAATAAAACTGAAGTCTCTGTCTCTGAAGAAGTTAAAGAAGAAGAAACAACTTCATCTGGAATTGCAGAAGTTGATGACAATACAACTTCAGGCAAAGAAGAATTGACAACAGCACTTGAAAACACTGAAGATAAGGGAGAAGTTACGACTACTTTATCAACTGGAGATGAAAACAATGTTGGAGAAGAAGGAGATGCAACAGTTGACACACTTGAAGTAAATTTTGAAAGCACTACTGTCTCCATGAATGTTTCATCAGATAATATAGAAGAACATGGCCAAGCCCAAGTTGACCCTACCCCTGATTATCTCCTTTGTCTAGTTATGGGAATGGATAAATGTAAAAATCAAACAAAAGTTCCAGATTCTGGTTCAGATAAGGTAGACATGATAACTCCTACAGTGGGAAAGCCTTTGGAAACTTTTGAAATTGTAAATACTACTCTTGAAAATGGAACTTGTTTATACCAGGGGGCTATTTATCAAGATTTTGATGATGTACCGTCAACAAACCCATGTGATCTTTGCTACTGCAGTTATGGAGATGTTATTTGTGCTGAACGAGTATGTGATGTGCCTAAAGAATATGAAAACTGCAGCCCGCTTTCGCCTCCTGTCGGAGAATGCTGTCCTACCAACTTTGATTGTAATGAGATAATCTTTGGCCCAACAACCACAGGACTACCCATAGGGCCAAATGGAGAAAATGCCCCAAGTATTACAGCAGTTGGTTCTATTACTGCTGGATCCCCTGCCACAGCCCAGTGCAATTTAAATGGTACAATGTACAATAATGAGGCTGACATTGGGCCTCAGGGGTTATGTGACACTTCATGCAAATGTTTGAATGGAAAGGTTGAGTGTGAAAAGATGCAGTGTCATCCTGCTCCAATTAACATGAACTGTACGGAGATATACCTAGAGAATGAATGCTGTCCTACTTTCCAATGTGTTGGTGAAGAACTTCCTAGACCAGAAGCTGATTCCCATCTAGGTGTTACAGTTCCAGGGGTTGACATTACATCCACAGTTGAAGGAGAACTAGAGGTTGATGATATTACAGCTGAAAACATTTTACAAGAAAGTACAACAGGACAGAATCTAGCAGAGGAAACCTCATCTGTATTTGCAGATCCTACACTTGATGTAACAACTGTGGAAGATGTTCAGTATGACGACACTGATGATGACTTTGTATCCTGTTCCAAAAATGGGCAGTACTATGAAAATCTTCAGGATGTCCCAGCAGATGATATTTGTCAGCTTTGTCAATGCTTTGAAGGTGAAATAATTTGTGCCAAGAGAGAATGTACTACACCAGACCAATTCAAATTATGTCTGCCAATACCTGAAGAAGGCAAATGTTGTCCTTCATCTTGGAACTGTAATGTTACAGTTGATGCTGAAGCAATCAATGTTTCAAATGCTGAAGTTACAACTGCTTTAGTAGATCCTGAGGATATAGTAACCTCTACTATTCATGAAACTGGATATATTTCAACTTCTGCTACAACTGACATTGAAGATGCAAGCACATCTGCTACAGATGTAACTGGAGATGTAACTATTTCTACTACTAGTGTTACAGAAGATATTACAACTGCAGATACCACTGACATTAAAGATGTAATTAACACCGTTGGTAGTAATATAGTTAATATTACAACTTCTAATATCACTGACATAGAAAACGCAAGTTCTTCTGAAGTTTTTAATGCTGGTATTATTGAAAACACAAGTGCTTCTGCTGTTTTTGACAGTGAAAACTTGACAACTGAAACTGGAGACTTAACTACTGCTGAATCTGACAACGGGGATGTAGATACTGCTGCTGCAACTACTGAGGCTGGGGATGTAAATATTGTTGATACAACTAGTAAATTTGATGTAAACATTTCTGCTGCTTCTAATGTAGAAGAAACTACAACTATTGCTTCAAATGAAACTGGAGATGTAACTGATGCTGCTGAAAATGATGATGTTGAAACCACAACTTCCAGCCAACAGGGAAATTTTACTACAGAAACCAACACTGATACAGATGAATCAACTACTTCTACAATTATTGAATCTGTTGATATATCTGATACTTCCTCTTCTGGTGATAATGGATATGTATCTACCACTGAAGCTGAAAATGAAGATAATACTACACCTTCTACTTCTGATGATAAAAATACAGTTACTTTCAGCAACACAACTGATGAAAATAATAGCACTACCGATACAATTACTGCTTCAACTGAAGCCGAAGATGAAAGTTCTACTTCTGTCATTAACACCATTGTGGAAATAGTTACTGAATCCTCTAATTCATCACCTGAAATTGAAGATTCAACAACTGACAAGAATGAAGAGGGGATATCATCTGCAACTGCAGAACTTGAAGGTTTAAGTACTGATGCTACAACTGACAAAGATGTTCAATATGATGATACTGAGGATGAATATCATGTAGAAGGATCCTGCTCAAAAGATGGAGGATTTTATGAAAACCTCCAGGATGTGCCTAGTGACGATGTTTGTGAACTTTGCCAATGCACTAATGGTGAAATCATTTGCGCCCAAAGAGAATGTTTAATTCCAGATGAGTTCAAGGCATGCAAACCTGTAAAAGAAGAAAATCAATGCTGCCCATCATCTTGGGACTGTGATGTCACAAATAAAGAGGAATCTACAACAGAAAGTGAAGTAGGGCTCAGTAGTGTAGATACTAATGGTGTAACCTCTGATAGTTTAGATTTAGTCACTGATAGTTCCACTGACAAACATGAGGCAGATTTAACTACATCAGGTGAAATTGTTGACACAACAACTCTTAAAACCACAGACCTTGGAGATGAAGTTACCACTGATGTTGATATTACAGGAGATGTTGCCACTGATGCTGGTGATAAAACTACAATTACATCTATTAACACTGAGGCAACAACTGAAATTGATAGTGTTACTCTTGCATCTGTTGACAAACAAGAAGATAATGAATCTACAACAAGTGCCACTGGGGATGTTTCTCCTACTGAGGCTGAAGATACTACAACAGCTGAAATAAATGATCTTAATGATGTAACAACTGTTGCTACTGCTGAAGTTACAACTGCTGATAATGATAGTTTAGGTGTAACTAATGATGCTGTAGCTACAGATATCACAACTGGCATTGTAAACACTGATGATGCTGGAGTTGAAACTGTCACTGGAGAAATTAACACTACAGAAGCTAGTTCCTCCACTGGAGATGAAACAACTATTTCTGCAGTGAGCACTGGAGATGAAACTTTCATTTCCAATGCTAATTCTGTAGATGTAACAACAAATGCAGCCAATGTTGGTGGAGATACAACTACAGTTGATACAACTGACATTGACAAGGAAACTACTGCTTCTAGCAATGTAGAAGAAACCACGTTGGCAATTGTTGATGGGGAAGATCTGACCACTGAAAAAACTAATGATCCAAACAAATTAACCACTTCTGTTGGGACTGAGACTGAAGATGCAACTAGCACTAATACTTTAGAGATTGAAGATTCTTCAACTGCTGCTAATTCTGTGGGTGAAGATGTTACTACTTCTTCAAGCACAGATACAGACGATGTTTCCGCAACTTCTGATTCTGATGAAATCACAACTGATATTGTTAGCACTGATGGCAAAATTGAAACAACAGTGTCTTCAACTGACATTGAAGATCAAACAACAGCAGCTGCTCTTGCCACTTTAGAAGAAAATGAATCTAACACAACTGTTGCTGGGGATGAAACAACAGTTGGCAATGTAGAAATAGAAGTTGTAACTACTCATGCACTTTCTGAAAATGAAGATAAATCTACCACAGTTGAAAACGGAGAAGTAACAACAGTTGTTGCTGCTGAAATAGAAGATATAACTACTGCAGCAACTGTTTTATCAGAAAATGAAGTTGAATCATCTACAGTTAATGATAACGCTACTGGATATCCTATTTCTGAAGTAACCAGCTCAACTGATTATATAACTACAGTTGCATCAATTGAAAATGGAGATGCTACTGCTGAAGTTACCAGCTCAACTGATGATATAACTACAGTCGCATTACTTGAAAATGAAGATGCTACTTCTGATGTTACCAGCTCAACTGATGATATAACTACAGTTGCATCAATTGAAAATGGTGAGAATACTTCTGAATTTATTATCTCAACTGATGATATAACTACCATTGGATCAACTCAAAATGAAGATGCTACTTCTGAGGTTACCACTGAAGGAGTAACTACAGCTGTATCAACTGATAATGGAGATGGAGATTCTACAGTTGTGGATCTCACAGACACCACTAAGCTACCTATGAAAGATTTCTGTCTTCACAAAGGAATGGTCATTCTGAATCTGTCCGATGTTCCATCAAAGGATGCTTGTGAGCTCTGTCAGTGTGTTGATGGAGCAATTGTTTGTGCACTTCAGGAGTGCCAAGGTTCTCCAAGCAGTGGCTGTGTTTCCCTTCCCCTTAATCAAGGAGAATGTTGTCCCAAATATGACTGCACTGTTCCTGAAACATCATCTGAGTCTGGACTTATAAAAACTACCTCCAGTGCTGAAATTTTAGAAGATGACTCCGATGATTACACCACTGATGCAGAGAATGCTGATGGCACAGAAAAGGAAGATGATGATGAAGGAGCGTTGCCATCAGTAGTATCTGCCACCACCTCTGCCATTCTTCCAGTAGTTACCTCTCCCAAACCTGTTGCAACAACACAACTGACAACACTTTTGACTTCAGCTATAGCACAAGAAGGAGCTGTAACCACTGTGACTCCTGCGGGTATACTTCAAAATGAGGATGGTACCTTTGGTACAGCTAGTGGAGATATCTTAGGATATGAATATGATGATGTTGACTTTGAAAGTCTTGGTCCTGGAGCCTGTCTTTTTGAGAACAAAATTTATGTTTCTGCTCAGCAGATCCCTAGAGATAATCCATGTGATTTCTGCTTCTGCTTTAGAGGAGATATTATCTGTTTACAGCAGAGCTGCCCACCACCAATCCCAGGATGCACTGAAGAAATCATTCCTGGATTCTGCTGCCCCAGATATGAATGCCCTGTAAAAATGTCCATCCACAATGTTACAAGACATATACAGCATGCAGCCGAGGTTCCAAGCCTGGCCTCATGGTTTGGATTTGGTGCTAAGGAGAATCAGGTTGAGGATGAGGTTTACCAGACCGAGGTTAAAGGTTGTGAAGTCCAAGGAAACTTTTATGAAGCCGGAGCCTTAGTTGATGTATCATCTGGTCCTTGTCTACAGTGCAGGTAAAACTTTGAAATATTTTTAAAAATTTACCAATAAAGGACAAAATCAATATTTTTTCTAAATGTAATCTTTTAAGATGTGATTTTGAAGAGAAACTGGACTGTGAACCCATTGATTGTGAGACACAACCCTTACTGAAGAGAATGCTTAACATCAGATAAAGAAGTTGTCTGCTTCCGTTGAATCTTGTACCTAATTTACTGACCTGTGAACAGGTCTATAGAGATGGCATTGCCTCAGTTAACTGTGGATTCCTGGAGGCATATCATACTTGCTAGCCATTCACAGTGCCAAACCAGATACTCTTCCAAGTGACAGGACTTAAACATAGTATTCATTCTGCCCCCGTTCTAGGCAAATTAACAATAATATTATCTTAATAATCAAACATTTAGATGTTAGAATTTTTTCTGAGCAGTTCATGTTTTCAATATATTTAGTATGGTGATAAAAGATTTGAAATGTTTAAGTCGGTCAATTGGGTTTTGAAAAGGGTTAACGCTTAAAAATAATCAAACATGACTGGTCTGAATCTGGCGAAATCTGATGTGCATCACACTAAAGAATATTCCATGCTCTTAATTTTAGATAGATTTTTTAAAATTTGTGGATAAGCCTTTTTTAAATATTACATCTTTTAATTTGTTATTTATCAAGCTACACGGTAACCCTGCTCAAAAATGACAAATAACACCGGTTCCGGTGTAAATACTGTAAACTGTAAATAATCTAAACTGTTGATCTGTCGTCTTCCTGTAACATTTCTTCCCAAGAAAAAGACGACCAGCCAGCCTTGTCCAATGCAAGGAAGCTGTAGTCTCCTTTCAATCAATCAACCAATAAATGTAAATACTGTACGTAAAAATATTATCATTATTTAGTTATAATTTAGAAAAAAGGGGAAAATATTGAATTTTAGACAAGAAAGAATTTGATCAAATTATATATTTAGGATCTGCCATTGAATTTTTGAAATAATCCTTTTACTTGAGTGTATTTCTTTCAAGTGAAGGTCTTCATTTATTTGTGATTTTAAAACTGGTTTAACAAGCTGAAATATGCCGCGTGGCATGTGCTTCCATATTTTTTTGTCGTCTTCCAAACTCCTTGTAATTTTTGTGATAAACAAATTTGCTATTGTGCAACAGCAAGTAGGGATAATAGAAATAAATATATTATATGAAAAAACTTTATTTTTATCATGTAGATCGTAGATGTGTAAAAAGATTATCAACTAACGGAGAGACTTAAAATTTAATTTTTTTCTTACATTAGGGCTCTTTAAAGCTAAATATTATGTGTCTGTAAAAAAACAAAATCGACTGAAACCTTTCGAGAACTTTAAAATTGTCGTTGAGTGCATTCTGTTCTGTTCTTACGGAAAGATTAGCCGATTTAACTATTGAGAGATCGGCTCAGAGTTGAGGTCTTGGGGACTGTTCACCTCCTTTTAAAAGATATAACTTCCTACTATTAGAAATACATCTGCGCCAATCTGATTCCACCAAGAGGTTCATGAAAGCAAAAATTATCGATACTTTTTGTAAGAATTAAATTTCTTGTGAATTTTGTGGATTTAAAAGTATTCTATAATTTGAATCTATGAAATAGGGGTTCCAATAACAAAAAGCGTAAAAATAGCAATTTCTCGAAAAGTTTTTCTTCCGAATTTTTTAGATTTTCAAACTTTTTATTGCAATATTTTTTCTAGGTCTAAATGCATAAAGTAGTGTTGGGTTGGCTCAATTCAAATATATTGACGTGATTTCAAGTGGCTCTTCTATCATGGAACGGCATCCTCGATTCACTATGGTACCTAGAGACTAGAAAATATTTTCCAATTATTGAACAGATAAAGTTTTAAAATATACCGTTGTGAATCCGTTATGTCTCTAATAAAGTGAAAGATGACTTTAAATTACAAGCACAGTCCCTTTAGAGAAAATTAACCAAGGTATGTCACGTAAACTAATTTCAACTTCTGAGTATTCTGTTTAATAGCGCTGAGTGTCTGTAAATATGCAAAATAATGGTACTCAAGACTTCTTATTTCATAAAAAGGTTTAAATGAAGTAAAATAAAAATAATGTGGATCTATACAGACAAGTGCGTGTCTATAGGGAATCCCTAACCCCGTACATGAATGAAAATTTAATTTTTCAATTTTTGTGACCAAAAAAATTAATTTCTACATTTTTTCGACCTTTTTTGCATTCTTTTAAACCTTCTTAGCACCCAAACTATTTTAGATAGCGGTCTAACTTGAAAAATTGGACTATACATATGCAATGTAACCCTATACCTTCACTCTAATACCTTCTTCTAGGGGGTGGGGGGGGGGTGAGACACTCCCCTCTTTCAGGCTATACATAGATTTAAACCCCCCGCCTTTATAGGGTTAAATAGTTTGTAAATTAAGCGTATCTGTATTTATAGAAGTATAAAGGATAGTTCTAAAACTTTATCAAATTCTTTAACAAATTTTGAATACCAAAATTATAATTTTTAGAATACATACAGTGATAACCAAAAAAAAACTATAGAATAGGAATTACATCTATTCTGAAGTGTGTTTGATTTTGTTACAAAGAAAATAGCTTTATAAATTAGTTATTAAATCACTTTTTATCTAAACTAGGTCTGTGTACACTTCACAATTACTGTGATTCATGTTTATTGGACTAGTTAAAGTCATAACTTGAGTCTAAAAGTCGACTTCCTATTTCTGAGTTTTCTGGTTTTCACTGTAGTAAATTTTAGATTCATGTTTTTAAAGAAAACTTGAAAATGGTAATCTTCCCAATTTCATGTCTTCTAATTTCACATTTTTTAAATTTTGAAATGAAATGATGCCTCGTGGCGGTTCATTTAATGTTGACAACTTGCATATCATGAAATTATAATCTAAGAGATGATTTGTGGAGAAACGGAAAATCTGCTAAATTATTCCCAAAAAATCAAATTTACATTTTGCGGTTTAGCTTAAACAAACTTCAGCTCAGCAGTTAACAAGTTGGTTTTCATCTTCTGAAGATCTCATAAAGACAAGAGTTAGTAGGGTTGAACTGCGCTAAAAGCACGAGAGGATAATCAAACTAATCAAAATGATGTAAGTTAAACTAATTAACAATAAAAATAAATTTAGTTTTGTTAAGGAAAAAGGTGCTTTTTGGTAAAGGTTCAAGTTCGTCTTGGCTCAGATTTAGGTTTTGATTCAGGTTCAGATTCAGGTTCAGGGTTCAGGTTCAGATTCAGATTCAGGTTCAGGTTCAGGTTCAGGGTTCAGGTTCAGATTCAGATTCAGGTTCAGGTTCAGGTTCAGATTCAGAGTTCAGGTTCAGGTTCAGGTTCAGGTTCAGGTTCAGGTCAATGTTCAGGTTCAGGTATAGAGTAAAAGTGTCGGGTGGGAATTTTAGCAACGTCCAATTTTTTTTGTATATTTACCGCACGCCTAGATTTTGTTCCTAAATTCAAATATTTTTGTCGGTTGGCTCACAATCTTCAGAGATTTCAACTCAGACAGATTTTACATTTGTCACAAGTTTGTATTGTCTGGCATTTGCCACTTTTTCTACCAACTAAATATTTCAGGGGATTCAGAGATGAAAGAGCTACAATCTGCGTTTAGTGCATTTACTAAATTATTTCACATGTTCAGCTTTTAAACCCCTTTATACCTTCACTAATAACTGATTTATTTTTTAAAAACTTTTTATAAAGAGCAAGATTAAATAATAAATATCTATATTATTATTTGTATCGTATCTAATAAACGTACATAAACGGCTGAACCGATTAGGCCCAAATAAATTGAGTCTTTGCTACAAACTAATATTCTATTCCCTATATTTTTGCAACCCAATGTCGCAGACCTTAGATATTTAAAAAGTCAAATCATGACTACTATCAGATCAAATAATCAAGGTTTGAATAATCAACACAATCAGGTTAGAAAGATGTAAGAATACCAATGAAGTTTGTGGCAAAAAGCTCAAATAGCGCACATTACCACGTGCTCCCAGTGTGAGTCCATAGGGTGATCAAAGTAAAATAGTTTTGCCTCAAAGATTCACAAGATTACATCGCTATTTTCAAATAATGAAGAAAAAATTACGAGCAAAATAGCTTTTATTCTCTAAAGTCAATTACTTTTAAAACTAAAAAAAAAAAAATTATATTTCTCACTTTTTTGAGTAGTGGGTTTTATCAAATTGTATATCAACTCAGTTTTTTAAAGTTTGAAACAAAGCTGCAGTTTTTCTGCAAGATGTTAAAGAGACTAAAGAAATGTTCATGTTTTTTAATTTTGAAAATGAATAAAACTTTAAATTGTGGTTTCTATAAATTGAGGTGACTATCTGATTTCTGGTTCAGAAATAAAACACAAAGACGATATTCTTCACACTATTGATCAGATAAAGGTTTAGAGGGTTTCATTGGGAAAATTGGACACTTGAAATTTCAGCTAAACTGAAATTTAATTGAGGTTTAGATGGGATTCAAATTAAAAGAAAACGAAACTTACATAAAATTACATTTATTTATTTTAATAAATTCTGCGCCGTAAAATAGAAAGATAAAATAAAAAATGTCAAGTTTAAAAATTCAAACAAAAGTACGCTATTTCGATTTACTTTATATTTCCCTCTCCCTCTTCCTCTCGGCCTTCTAACTACTTATAATTAGTGCTAAACTTTTAAGGATTTTAGACTTTTAAAAGATTCCACAAAAATCAGAATTTTTCAAATTTTTAAATTTTTTGTAAACTTTTTCTTTTCTTACACTTTTTTTTAACTCAGAGAGAAGATATTGTAAACAAAAAATACCAAAAAAACCAAAAAAACATAATTTTCCAACTATCGCTTGTTTGATAGGTCTTTCCTTATATTTTTTCTTTGTATGCAAAGGAACTGAGTTTTTACCACAAACTCAAATATTCTTATCCCTATATCTTGGCAACCCAATGTCGTAGACCTTAGATATTTCAAACTATTAATTCTGTTAGATCAAATAATCTAAGTTTGAAATATGAAAGGGTTAAACCCACTGGTTGCAGAGATATAGAAATTAGAAAATTTGAGGTTGTGGCAAAAACTCAATTCCTTTTGTATGGTTAAATAAAAGTAAACTTTTAACACAAAATACAAATTTAAATGCTGGGAACCTTCTGTATGGAAAAGAATTTTGCGGTGCCGTCAATAGTCCTAAACTATAATATTGAAATTTAGATTTTTAGATGCGTGTGTACTTACAAAATTGTTCCTAATCCCCCTCCCCTGGCCCCTTGTCTACAATATCCCACCATGATACTTGAAATTATATGATTAAACGAGGGGATTACGGGTTTTATGGGATACAAATACAAGAAGACGCGCCTTTATCCGCCATCGCGTAGTCAAATAAATAAACAAAAACACACGATTGACAAACATACAAAAATCAGACAAAAGTATTGATAAACAAACAACAGAAAAACATTATACACACAAATAAACAAAAATTAGTTCCGGATTGGAAAGGGCCTAAAATTTATGGAATTTTTTTCTCACAGAGAGAAATTCTGCCTTATGTGGTTCCATTTATAAAAGTGTGGTCTCAACAAGAAAAACTTTGTCCCAAAATAGAAAAATTTGGTAGCAAATAAAAAAAGGCCTTCAAATAGTGGTTCTGGGGTAGAGGACGGTTAAACGGCGGGTCGGGGTTTTAAAAAATCAGAAATGGTTAATAACTTTTTTATCGATTATAGGAAACAGGTCTGAGTCTTATTTGAAAAGCCCTTGAAATATGGATAAAATAACATGTGTCATATCTTAATATCTGTTTAAAGTAAAGATAACTATTTTTGAACTTATTAAAATCCTACCTTACACCGTAACCATTAAAGTTAGAGGTATAAAAG